CACTGGGAGATGCTGGGGGATGGACCAGCAAGCATTAGGGGGGCAGGGGGCGCCGGTGGGAGCTGTGGGCACTGGTGGGGGAATGGTTAAGGGAAGCAGTGTGAACTGGGGAGCACTGGGAGACACTGGAGGGGGTTGGAGTGAGCACTGGGGGGGCTGTGGGCACTGGGGGAGTGTGTCTGTGGGAACAGGGGGCACTGGGGGTTGGTGGGGAAACCACGGACATGGGGGAGCGGTGGGCACCAGGAGGCAGCGAGGGGGGGCCGCTGGCAGAGGGGAGGTGCAGGCAGGGATGGGAGGCAGCAGGGACCTGATCCTGTCCCCTGTGTCACCCCAGCTGCTGTCCCCGTCCCCACACAGTGCCCAGCTCTTCAGGGCACCCAGGGCCATGGGGGTGCTCTGGGGGTGCCTTGGTGCCCCTCCCCAGCTCTCATGCCCCGCTGACGCTGCCGTGCCCCCCAGGTGGGAGATGCGGAGCCGGAGCTGGGCGCTGCTGACAGCTGGATCGGCGTGGTGCCTGTGGGCGAGGAGCCGGCCGAGGTCCCCCGCGGTGCCAAGGAGGAGTCCTTCACCGCCGCCGTCGTCAGCAAGGTGACTCTCCCCCCGGCCCAGGGACTGCCGTGGCCTTTGCTGGTCACAAGCCCGCAGGGCACCTCCTGGGGTGTCTTCTGGACAGATATGGGGGGGTCCCTGAAGGGGCTCCCGGGCAGTGCCAGCCCTTCTTGGGTCTCTTGTGCCCTTCAGCCAGGGCAAAGAGGCACCGGGTGCTGCCAGCTCCCTGCAGTGGGATGGGAGGTGAGCGAGGGCACAGCCCTGCTGCCCGTCCTTCTGCCTGTCCTGCCCGCTGAGCCCGTGCCCTCTGCCTCCACAGATGAAGCGAGCCCTGGTGCTGGGGGCATCGGCCCTGCTCATCCTGGCGCTGAACCAGAACGCCATCCGGGAGGTAGGAGAGTCCCGGCGGCGGGTCCCGGAGCCGCTCTCGTGCCCCGCTGACGGCTCTTGTTTTCTTCTCCGGTGCAGCTGGACGTTTCCCAGCTTCTTGCCAAGCCTGTGATCGTGATCCAGTCCTCGGACAACGTCACCAGGCTGCTGGGAGCGCTGCTGCGGTACAGGCTGGGGCGGTGGGGGAGGCTGGGGGAGAGGTGCCCTGCCGGGCTGCGACAGCCGGGGGCTGCCCCGGGGGGGGCTCTTACATCATGTTTGCTGGGCTGGCATCGAGCTTCTGCTGCGCGGGGACCAGCTGGGGCTGAGACACGTGTTTCCAGGGAGGGTTTGAGTCAGATCCAGCCCTTCCTCAGGGCTTGAGCCCTTCCACGGGTCCCCACGTGGTGGCAGGGACTGACAGGGACCTCAGTCAAGATTTTTAGGGTGCTCAGCCTGCATTAGCCAGACCAGAGCGATACTGGTATCTCCACCGCCATTGTTGGTGTTTATCCCTAGTGCCTGCAATTTTAGGACTCCCTCAGTGCTCCTTACACGTGGTAAATCGGTATTGCTGCTGTGGGGTCGCAGATGGGGAAACTGAGGCACGGTGCTGGGAGGAAGAGACCTGTATGGGGTCACTCCAAGGGCCGGGCACGGCTGGGAAGGGGGATTCTCGCTGTCGCCTCCCCTGTGTGTTCCTCTGTCCCTGGTGGCCCCCCTTGGCTCAGCGTGGGCTGCCTGTCCCTGTGGGGAGGGGGTGCTCCCTGGCACTGGGGCGTCCTGCTGTGCCCACGGGATTGACATTCGTCTTGTCTTTTCCTCACAGGGGACTCCGGGCTACGGCGAAGATCACGTACCAGGCGGTGCTGCTGGAGAACCTGGTATGTAGGTCCTACTCCTCCTCCTCCTGGTGGGAGGGCAGGGGCATGGCTGTGCCCACCCAAACTTCCCCGGCCGTGGGGGGAGCTGCAGGGGGCAGGAGCCAGATCCAGGAAGGCTGTTGGAGCTGCCGGTGCCTCAGTTTCCCCAGAGACTCACTGGGTGGGAGCGGGGCAGCTGGGAGCTGCCGGCGGTTCCTCCTCCCCTCGACACATGTGGCCCACCCAGCACGGTGGGTCCCCCCGGCTGCGGGCAACGCCACGAGCCCTCGTGGCCACGGGCAATGCCTTTTCTTGCCTTGCAGGGGGTGACCCTCACCCTGTGGTCAACCTGCGGCCTCTCCCGAGGGGGGCTCTACGGCGAGTGGCAGGGGGTCATCTGCACGGGGGAGAACAGCTCGCAGGTCCAGGTGCGTGTGCCCGCGGGGGCTCCTGGCATAACCGGGGTTCCTGGTGTGGGAGGCATCAGCGATGGTGGGGCTGGGAGCAGAGTGGGGGTCTCCGGTTCGCCCCCCTGACCGCCCGCTGGTGCTGTTCCTGCAGAAGTACCTCCAGCAGCTGTGGAACACCATCCTGCTGATTGCCCTGCTCCTCTGCACCGGCGTCATCGTGCAGGCCCAGCGGCAATCCCGGCAAGACCCGTCGGAGCAGGATGCCGAGGTGGGAAGGTCTCAGCTCTGCTCCTCGCCGGGGAGAGCGGCGCCCGGGGTCTGACCCTCTGCTCTTGTCTTCGCAGCTGGACCTGAAGCAGCACATTCGGCGGCGGCTGTTGGCGCTGAAAACCCGGCGGTACCACCCCAGCAGAGCGCTCCAGAGCCGGGCCTGCGAGATCGATAGCTGCGCTGTCTGCTTGGACCAGTTCCACAAGAGCCAGGTAGGTACTGGGGGGACTGGTGCTGTGCTGGAACCTGTCCATCCTGGTTACTGCTTGGGGCCACCTGTGCTCGAGCCATCCCTTCGCTGCCCCGGACCGGGGTCGGGGTGTCCCTCCCAGGAAGCTGAGTGGCGGAGGGTCGTCCCCCTCCCTGTGCAGCGGGGTGGTGGCAGGGCTGTGACCTGGTACCCCAGCCTGGTTCGGCTCACCGCTGCTTCCCTCCCCACAGTGGCTGCGGGTGCTGCCCTGCTCCCATGAGTTCCACCGGGACTGTGTGGATCCCTGGCTCCTCCTGCAGCAGACCTGCCCTCTCTGCAAGCGCAACATCCTGGGTGAGAGCCGCGGGGCGAGGGCTGGGGAGGAACCGGAGCCCCCCAGGGTTTCCTCTGCCGTGACCCCTCCGTCCTTCTCCCTTCCAGGGAACTGCTGCACGGAGAGCTAGCCGGCCCCACGGATGTGCTGCGGGGACAGACCCATCGCCGCTGCGGGGAGAGGGAGGGGGAGCAGGGGGTGCTGGGTTGCTGCCGGAGCGGCTTCAGTGCGGCTGTGCCCGTGGCAGCGCCCCGGCCCTTGGGAGAGTGAAGGATCTCGGGGTGCTCCCTGCTGGGTGCGAGTAGAGGGGTGGGGGGGTCCAGACGGCCAGTGCCGGGGGGTGGGGGGAGAGGACGCTGTGGGGGCACCCATGGGTGTAAGAGGGTGGGGGCACCACAGGCTGGAGGCAGGGAGAGCTCTGGCCTGGCTACACTCCCTGCTCATAGTAATTTTTCTAAGTCTTTTCTTGGGGTTGTTTTTTTTTTGATGTTTTGTGGTGGCCGTGGCAGGGTGGGCAGAGCCCGGCTTGGGGCCGTCCTGTGAGTCCCTCTGCACCGTGGGCACCTTGGGGGGCGGATCTGGTGGGGACGGGGGCGACGGCTCTGCCGGGGCTGGGGACAAAGCTGGCAGGGCTGCCGGGCGTCCCGCTGCCTCGCTGCGGGAGGGCAGGGGGGTTGAACGCTTTATTTATACTAACTTATTAGAAAGGACAGCACGAGTCAGCTGCAGAGACAGAACGCAGGGCTTGTTTGGCTAACCACGGGTGTGCCGCGGTGGCCAGGGGACTCGTCCCAAGCCCTGACCGGCTCCTGTCCCACGCGGCGGCCGGAGGCTGCTGGGCTGCAGCGTCGCGCGTGTCTGTCTATTAAATACAGAGCAAGGACAAGCTCAGTGTGGTGTGTTGTGGCTCCCGCTGCCCTCCGAGGCTTAGAGTCATAGAATGGTCTAGGTTGGAAGAGACCCTTGGGATCATCGAGTCCAACCATCTCCCCTACTCTACAAAGTCCTCCCCTACACCATGTCCCTCAGCACTGCATCTAAACGGCCCTTAAACACAGCCAGGGATGGGGACTCCACCCCCTCCCTGGGCAGCCTGTTCCAATGCCCGACCACTCTCTCTGTGAAGAATTCCTTCCTAATGTTCAGTCTAAACCTCCCCTGTTGGAGCTTGAAGCTGTTCCCTCTCGTTCTGTCACTAATTACCTGTGAGAAGAGACCAGCACCAACCTCTCTACAGTGTCCTTTCAAGTAGTTGTAGAGAGTGATGAGGTCTCCCCTCAGCCTCCTCTTCCTCACACTAAACAGTCCCAGCTCCTTCAGCCGCTCCTCAGACGATTTGTTTTCCAGCCCCCTCACCAGCTTCGTTGCCCTCCTCTGCACTCGCTCCAGCACCTCCAGATCTCTCTTGGATTGAGGTGCCCAAAACTGGACACAACACTCCAGGTGTGGCCTCCCCAGTGCTGAGTACAGGGGCACAATCACCTCCCTACTTCTGCTGGTCACACTATTTTTGATACAAGCCAGGATGCCATTGGCTTTCTTGCCCCCCTGGGCACACGGCCGGCTCATTTGTCAATGAGAACCCCCAGGTCTCTTTCCTCCAGGCAGCTCCAGCCACACTTCCCCCAGCCTGTAGCGCTGCAGGGGGTTGTTGTGGCCCAAGTGCAGGACCTGGCACTTGCCCTTGTTGAAACTCATCCCATTGATGTTGGCCCAATGATCCAATCTATCTAAGTCTCTCTGTAGGGCTTCCCTATCCTCCTGGGAATCAACACTCCTGCTTAACTTGGCTGGTGAGGTTGTTCAAAGGTTTGGGGCCAGCTGCATGGGCAGCTCAGTGGTCCCCAGCCCCTCTGGGTGTTTGGTGGCTGCCAGCAGCGCGGGGAGAGCCGCGTCCCCAGGCCAAGGGCAGCTCAGACTCCTCATCCCCAGCTCAGCTCTGCCTTCCTCTCCACAGCAGCACGGCCACCTCCCAGTCACCTCTTGGGAACGTGGGCGAACTTGTGCTGTGCCCAGGTGTGACCTGGCATGGTTGGAGCTGTGCCGGGGACTCCAGCAGCAGCTTAGCCATGAGTGACTGAGCTCCAGCACCCTGCAGTGTCCCCAGCCCCGCTGGGCTGAGTCACCAGGGGCAGCTCTGGAGCCTTTCCCCTTCCCCCAGGGCTCCTGGCCTGGTGTGGGTCCGTCCCATGGCCGCTGTGTGGAGGGAGCAGGGGAGACACCAGCGCAGCCCTCTGCGCCCTCCCCCTCTGTTTTACCACAAGCCACAGCGTTGCCCAACCGCAGGGTCCCGTTGGGAGACGCAGTCCCGCAGACAACAAAGCCAAGCAGCAGCCAGGGGCGGGCTGGTAGCCAAGCTGGGGCAAAGCCACTGCGAGGACCGTCTCCCTGGGCTTGCACCTGCGGGCTCAACGGGCCGGGCAGAGGGAGCGGGTTTCCCAAGGGAAGGCTGGTGCTGGTGCACAAAGAAGGGGTAACGAGGTCCCAGGGGGCAGGGCAGGTGGCGGTTTGTCAAGCACTTCGTTTCTGCCTTAGTCTCATGAGCGTTTTATTTGTGGTGGCCGCGGGTGCCGTGGGCCAGGGGGTGTGTTCTGCCTCTCCTTGGCTCGGGGGGGCTGAGCACGAGGCCCACAGCCGGCAGCGAGAGGGGAGGCCCTGCCGAGAGCCCCTTGGAGCGCTGGCTGCTGGGCGCTCGCTGCCGGGGCTGGCCAGAGCCTCCCTGCGTCCCCACGCTGTCCCTGCTGCGCCGTCTGCAGGGGGTGGCAGTCGTCAGAGGGGAGGAAGAAGAGGGATGGTCCCCAGCCCCTTCCTCCCGGTTCCTACTCACCCTGTGTCCTGGCTGCTGAGCTGAGCCCACAGCTGGGTCTGCGGGACGAGCTGGAGAAGAGGAAGAGAAGGGAAGGGGAAGGGGAAGGGGAAGGGGAAGGGAAGGTGAAGGTGAAATTGCCCCCCCAGCACTCAGTGCCAGTCGCACCTCTCGGTGGCTGTCACCAAGCTGGTGGTGGTGGCACAACGGCCACGATGGGGCTGATGTAAACGAGCTGCAAACCAGCCCCGGGCACCTCAACCAAGCAGCTTTCCCTGCCAACACCAGTTAAACCAGACCAATATCCCAGTGGCATTGTAGCCCAGGCCTGCGCAAGCTGGGGAAGAAGCTGGTGACCCGCAGGGGACATTGTGAAGAGCCCCATGGCCTTTTACTCCATGGAGCCTTCTCTACAAGGGTACCTAAGCAGGGAACTGGTCCCCAGAGGAAGTGGGACAGCACCAGGGGCCATGGGGTGGTTTTGGGGTACGCAGCACCCCATGGTCATGTGCACCCCTCGCCCTGGTGGCACCCAGAGCTCACCTTCAGCACTCCCTGCTCAGCAGCTGACTTCACCTTGGCTAGTGCCGCCCTGAGCCGCACGTTCTCCTGCTCCAGCACGCCCATCCGGATGCTGTTGGCCTGCAGCTGCTTCTCCATGTCCTTGGTCAAGCTCCCGGTGCCTGTGAACAAAATACAATGTCCCCGTGGCAGGAGCTGGAGCTCAGCCTGCTGCTGGGAGGTGTTGGGAGCAGCTCTCCTCCCTCCCTCCTTCCCTCCCTCCCGAGCAGGGTGGCTGTTCGCTGGAAAGGAGCTTGTCCCAATTGGGGAGCACCAGCACAGCCTGGGAGGTGGCAGCTGGGACCCAAAACTGTGCCAGCTGAGGGCAAAAAAACCCTCTGCCTATGTCCTGGCACGGCTTTGTTTCCCGGCCCAGAGGTGGGACAAACAGCAGCCGTGCAGGGCGGTGTGTGAAGACGGTAGCAGCAGGTCAGGGCAGCCCCAGAGCCCCTCACTGGTGTGTCCAGGGCTGGCAGGATCCCCTGCGAGACCCCGTGGGCACAAGCCCACTGTGGGGAAGGCAAAGGATGCTGCTCCTCTCCCTTCCTCTCGAACCACGAGGTGCTGCGTGTCCCCAGGACCTCTCCCTTACTCTCAAACTGTGTCTCCGCGGGGATGTGGAGCTCCGGGAAGAACACCAGGAGCTTCTCCCGCTCCTTCAGCTCCCGCGCCTGCTCCTCCAGCCTGCAGACGTTGGCCTGCAGCTCGGACACAGACTGCTCCAGGGTCAGCTTCTCCCCACGCAGCGCGTCCAGCAGCTCCTGTGGGGCACAGCACAGAGGGGTGAGGTTTGCTGAGTGCCCTCCTCCACACAGGAGAAGGCCAATGGTCTCCTAGGGAGCATCAAGAAGAGCGTGGCCAGCAGGTGGAGGGAGGTCATCCTGCCCCTCTGCTCTGCCCTGGGGAGGCCCCATCTGGAGCACTGGGACCAGTTCTGGGCTCCCCAGTTCAAGAAGGACAGGGAACTGATGGAGAGGGGACAGCAAAGGACCACAAAGATGGAGAGACTGGAGCATCTCTCTTATGAGGAGAGGCTGAGGGACTTGGGTCTGTTTAGTCTGGAGAAGAGAAGGCTGAGGGGGGATCTGATCAACGCCTACTTGAAGGGTTGGTGTCAGGAGGACGTGGCCAATCTTTTTTCAGTGGTGCCCAGTGACAAGACAAGAGGTAATGGGCACAAACTGGAACATGGGAAGTTCCATCTAAACATGAGGAGGAACTTCTTTGCTGTGAGGGTGGCAGAGCCCTGGAAGAGGCTGCCCAGAGAGGTGGTGGAGTCTCCTTCTCTGGAGACATTCAACACCCGCCTGGACAAGTTTCTGTCCAACTACTCTGGGTGACCCTGCTCTGGCAGTTGGACTAGATGATCTCCAGAGGTCCCTTCCAACTGCATTCTGTGAGAAGGGTCTTCCCCAGGGGTTCCTGGGAGGAGATGGCCTTGTGGCAATGTCACACCAAGTCCCAGAGTTCCCCCCCTGGAAAAACCCTGGCTATGGGTGGTGGCTGGGCCAGCGGGTGACTCCTGACATCCCATGGTGCAGCCGTGTCCCACACCAGCTGCTCCCCATGAGCCCCGCTCCTGCAGCCCCCCCGAGGTGTGGTGGCTGCCAGCACTGACCTGCTGCACCCGGAGCTGCTGCCCGCTCTGCTCCCGGCTCTCCTCCAGCTGCTCTGCCAGCTTGGCCTTCTGCTCCTCGGCCTCTCCCAGCCTGGCCTGCAGCTCCTCGTGCTCCCGGTCCAGGCTGTCGAGCTGTTGCAGCAGGGCCCTCTGCTTGGCCTGCAGGGACTGTACAGGGCAGGGGAACCACCGTGGGGCTGCTGCAGCACCCACTCACCCTTACAGGAGCTCAGCCCACTCCCACAGCGTGCTGCAGGGCTGCAGAGCAGCTCCAGAACAGGGGAGAGCAGGCCCGGCCATACCTCCTCATGCTTCAGCATGCTCTCCACTTTGGCCTTCTCCTTCTCCAGCTGCGTGGTGGTGCTGCTCAGCTCCTGGCCCAGGCTTTCCCGCTGGTCCGTGAGCAGCTGCACCTTCTCCTCCAGGTCCAGCACTTGGCTCTTGGCCACCATCGTGGTCCTCATCTCCTCCAGCAAGGTCATCTTGGTCACTTCTGAGAAGAGACACAGCATCCTTGGCCAGGCTGGGCAGGAGAAGCTGCCACATAAGGTGGTCTGAAGGGGCCCTACACCCTCCACAAACCCTGGCGAGGGGGAGGAAGGTCTGACGGGAGGGCCGCGACCCCTCGAATCTCTACCAGAGCCCACAAAGGTGCTGGGTGATCTTTGGGCATCATAATGAAGGCGGTTTGTCCTTCCCATCCTTCCCACCAGGGAGGTGATGTTTGGGCACCGCAACGAAGGAGGTTTGTCCTCCTCCCAGTTCCCACCAGTGCTATCCCAACCAACTCTGGGTGTGACGTGGGTGTAATACACTCATGAGATCACAGCAGGGCTGGGGGAAGGAGGCACCAGCAGGGTGAGCCCCAGGGGTCCTTACCCAGCTCCTGCACAGCAGTTTCCTTTGCAGCCAGCTCCTCCTTTAAGGCAGAGAGTCGCTCTTCCAGCAGAGCAGCTCCTAAAACAGCACAAAAATGCTAATGAACATTAAACAGCTCCTCAAAGAAACTAAAAGGAGGCAGCAAACGGCTCTGCCAAAGCATTTCTCATCCCGTGGTTGTATCGTGCTGTGCTTCAGCAGGGAGGAGGCAGCAAGAGGATGTGGACAACCAGCTCCCGCTGTCGGAGGTTACTCTCACAGCTGGGAACAGCCCCGGTGTCTACCAAAATCAGTGGCCAAAGCCCTGCTGATGTTGGCGGGATCAAGATTTGACGATGGATCCCATGCTTCTCCTGCAAATACCCACAGGCCTGGGAGGGGATGCTGGGAACAGCACTGTACCTCTCCGTAGGTCATCCTTGTCCTGCTCCAGCCTGGCTACAGCCTCTAAATACTCTTTGTGCTTTACTTCCAGGCTCTGCTCAGCCGCCTTCCTCTGCTGTGCTTGGGTCTCCTTCTCTGCCTGAAGCAACTGGGAAAAGTCCTCAATCTGTTTTCGCAGCTTGTCCTTCTGTTTCTCCGACTCTTCCAGCTGTGACTTCAGAGGGTTGACCTGCTGCAGCAGCAGCTGGAGGTGTTTGCTGATCCGGGAGAGGTCCTTGCTCTGCTCTGAGGCCCAGTAGTTCATGTCTGTTGCAGAGAGAGTCCTTCTCCCTGTGGGCTCCTCCACCATCTCCTGGAACTTGCTCAGAGCCGAGGGGATGTTCTGGCTCTGGCAGATGTCGGTGATGGTTTTGCCAACCTCGTGGAGGCTGGCCTGGGCGCTGGCACAGGTGGCACAGGGTCCCAGAGACGAGTCAGTTGTCTGTGTGGGGACGCTGCGGCTGCTCTTGGCCGTGCTGCAGGCAGCCCTGGGCAGGGAGTGACACAGGGCATTGCCATCTGCCACACGGACACCTGATGCTGGGCACGGAGAGGCAGATGAGGCAACTTCCGGGGAAGTTCTTAACTCCAAAGCAGCAGGTGAGCAGCGTTTCAGGCTCTCCTTCAGCTTCTCAGCCTTTGGGGTGAGTTGCAGCGTGGGGTTCTCCCTCCGGCAAGCCTTCTTCTGGTGGAGAGAGCACAGAACAAAATCAGGGCTCAGATCAAACACAGTCAGATGTAAATGATCCGTAAGAGCCCAAATACAGGTTTGAACCATGGGGACAAGACACCAGGGCAGCCAAGGAGTGACGAGGGCAGCGAGCCCTTCTCTTGGGAGGAGTTGCCAGAGCTTGTAGGAGGACAGCTGCCAAGCGCTCGGGTTCCCTGTTCACTGTGCTCTATTAAAACCAAAACACGTGGCTAACAAGCCAAATGAATTTGCTTTCCCACTCCCCGATGCAGGGTACAGGGGAATTGAATTTCCACAAGCTGCCAGGCAGCATTCCAGCCACCGCTGCCAGAGCCGTGGTTTCACGATGGGAAGCCCCAGCAGTGAAACCTGCTCCCCGTCTCCTCCTTCTTGTGACCACCCCTTCTTTCTTGTGACCTCCTGCGCAGTCTCCTGGTTATGCCAGATGAATTATTGTGAGACTTTGCCACAAAAGGGATCATTTTGGGGGGGGGGGGGGCGAAATAAAAGGGGGGGGGGCAGGGTTTT